TTGTGCACAATGTTTACAATCAAACTGAAAGCTATTTCTATTACTTGGTGTGCTCAGTGCCACACAAAGTTTTATCATCGTCAGTTGTAGGAAGGCTTAATGTATTGTGAATTTCCCAAAGAATAAGGTACAGCACAAGTAGTCCTCTACTTATGACCATTCGTTTAGCAACTGTTTGAAGTTATAACAGTGCTGGAAAAGTGACTGGTCCTCACACTTATGACCATCACAGCATCCCCAAACTCACGCGATCAAAATCTGGGTGGTTGGCAACTGGCCTGTATTTATAACAGTTGAAGCCTCTCTGGGGTTATGTGATCAAGATTTGGGCGCTTTGCGACCGGCCTTTGTTTAAAATGGTTGCATGGTCCTGGGGTCATGTGATTCTCATTTATCACTTTCCCAAAGGGCTTCTAGTTGGCACCTTGAATTACTTATAAAATAATAAAGGCAGGATAAAAATTCAAAGTCAGGGTCAATGGAGGTTGTTACCTAACAACCATGTGATTCACAAAAATGACCACCATGATTTGCTTAACAACTGCGGCAAGAATCAGTCATATAATCAGGTGCAACTCACTTTAACAACCACATCGCTTAGCGATGGAACTTCAAGTCCCAATGTGGTCATTAGTCAAGGAGCACCTGCACTTAACAGTAATCATAATAATAATAATAAAAGATATGAACCAACCACTCAGACTCTAGATGTGCATTTAGTGAACCCACAGATTTCATTTTAACTCCAGTCTTGCACATTTTAATCACAACTGTGTCACAGAATCACATAGAAGTCATGATTAAGATATTATTAAGCTTCTTCCAACTTTCTGGCTAGAACGGGAAAAATGACGGGCACGTTTAATTTTTCAACTTCACTTTTCTAGACTTAAGTTGCTGTGAATGAAAAGTGCCCTTAACCATTTCTCATCCAATTAATTCAGCAATACAGTTGAGATGCATAATGCAGATTAGCCTTTTACAACTTGTCAGACAGAGCAGGCCATATTCAGCATGTTAATTAAATGGCACTGCTAAGATGAATTCATTCAGTACAGTTAGACTTTCCCAAAGATTGGGAATGAGGCCGTAGAACTGAAGTTCAGCAGAACCAGTGACCCTGAGTTTTCTCCTATATACAGTAGTGCATAAATGACTGTATTGTCCCTAGTATACTAACACAGCATTGTTTTATCTTCCTGAGTGCTGGCCTTTGCATAAGCTGGCTGAAGGGATAGAGCCCTTTTAAAAGCTGGCATATTATTACTGCATGCTTAGAGAGAAATCCATCATCACATGGCTAAAGCAATGCGTACTTAAATCAAGATATTCTTAGAGATCTTCACATTCACTTTTTGAAATACTTCGTATCATTTAATATTAGAAATTGCAGGTCATCGTACAGCTTAAAATAAATTCCTCGGGAGATCAAAGCTTTCCCAAACTACAGTGGCCTTGATGCATTTTCCTTCCAAAATCACACAGTTTTCTTTTTGCAAGATTCTAGGTATGAGTTACTCTCATTCAAGCAGAAAGACTTTGGGGGGAGGGGAGGGAACCAGCAAAAATAGGCTAGCAGGAGAAAAAATAGCTAGTGTGTGTGTGTGTGTGTGTGTGTGTGTGGCGGGGGGGGGGTATAATCATACTTTCAAGACTCCTTTGCACTTAAAAAAAATCAAGAAGTATGTATATCTAGTTTTCCACTTGGAAAGTGCTTCATTTTGAATTTGCAATATTTGGAAATAGCTAGTAAGATCATTACAGTTACCAACTCTATTCATAAGATGGCTTTTCTTGCCCAGTAGTACTAAAAATGCATTTTTAAATTTTTTATTTAAAAATGGAAAAGAAATTCAAAGTATTTAGGCAATCCTAAAAAAAAATTAACATTTTTTGAAGCATGACTATTTCCTTATTTGTAGAAACAAGCAGACTTTAAAAGCTTCTTCCTCATTTACATTCCTTGAGCATGCAACTTAATAATTAAAGTAAAAATTAATTAAAACAACTGAACATTGCTGCATGAAATAACAGGTTCTGTGTATGTGTAACTGGGTTGTGATTTGGAAAAGTGCTACAGGCCTCATATGAATATAGCACTTCCATTCATAAAAGCACATACCAAGCTTTTTTTTTAGGCTTTTGCACATACCAAAAAAATGTGGCTGCTCTAAGACTCATATTAAAGACACGAAGCTTTAACAATTTGATTCATTAAAGCACCACTTGATTTGTGCAAAGAAGAGCAACTAAGATGATTAAAACATGATGAACAGTTGCAGGAATTGGGTATGGCTAGTCTAGAGAAAGAAGGACTACATGATAGCAGTATTTCAGTATTTGAGGGGCTGCCATAAAGAAGAGGGGGTCAAATTATTTTCCAAATTACCAGAAAGTAAGACACTAAATGATGGAAACTAATCCAAGGAGAGAAGCAACCTGGAATTAAGGAGAAACTTCCTATCAGAGAGAAGGACAAGGGGGGACATGATAGCAGTATTCCAATATCTCAAGGGCTGCCATAAAGAAGAGGGAATTAAGCTATTTTCCAAAGCACCTGAAGGCAGGACAAGAAGCAACGGGTGGAAACTAATCAAGGAGAGAAGCAACCTAGAACTAAGGAGAAACTTCCTGACAGTGAGAACAATTAATCAGTGGAACAGCCTGCCTCCAGAAGCAGTAAATGCTCCAACACTGGAAGTTTTAAGAAGAGACTGGACAGCCATTTGTCCGAAATGGTGTAGGGTTTCCTGCCCGAGCAGGGGGTTGGACTAGATGACCTCCAAGGTCCCTTCCAACTTTACTACTATTATTATTATTATTATCAGTGAGGACAATTAACCAGTAGAACAGCTTTTGCTTTATCACTGGAGGTTTTCAAGAAAAAACTGGACAGCCACCTTTCTGAAGTGGTATAGGGCAGGGGTAGGCAACCTTGGCTCTTTTATGACTCATGGACGTCAACTCCCAGAATTCCTGAGCCAGCATGGCTGGCTCAGGAATTCTGGGAGTTGAAGTCCAAGAGTCATAAAAGAGCCAAGGTTGCCTACCCCTGGTATAGGGTCTCCTGCTTGAACAGGGGGTTGGACTAGAAGACCTCCAAGGTCCCTTCCAACTCCATTTTGATTGATGGATTTCGCATTTAAGATTTCCTTATCTGTGGCTGGAAAAATCTGGGTGATGATTACAAAGCAGCACAGAGCTAGAGTTTTCTTTATTTCTTTGTAGCCATCTAGTCTGAATTTTTCCAGCCCAAGGATGGCAGCTCCCCAATATCATAAAAAAGTATGTGTACTTCAATGAACAACAGAGGCGTCCTGTGCTTGTGTGAATCCTGAAGCACTTCCTCCAATGGTGTTCAAGTCTACGAAGCCGATATATACCCATCAACAATCTTCTCAAGAAAGCATGGCTCAGTAATAGGTTACACTGAAATCAATAGAAAAATCTTCCATTTTTTTTATTATTTTAGGTCAATGTTCTAGTCACATAAGTCTCTCTTACATATAATACAAAGGGTGATAAACCCCTGAAACTATAAACAGTCTGAGCTTCATTCTGATATATAATTACATGAACTAGCCAATAAAAGAAACTAAGAGTCACGAGTACAAGAAATACCTCGTGTATATATACACATAGAAATCAGGTTTGTAGCCTAAATGGGTTAATAATGTGTATTGACATATCAGAGAAACTAACAAACAATCATGAAAAGATTCAAAGAGCTATGTGGAGTTATCATTATCATTTTTCAAGCTTAAAGAGATTTAATAGTGCAACCTATCCATGTTTATTGAGATATAACTTCCATTGAATTCAATTTGTTTACTCCCAATATGTGCTAAGGACTGTAACTAACTATATCCTGGAAAAATGTATCATATAATAAGGAATTTTCTGGGAGAAGAAGGAAGTGGATATTATATCCCAAGACATCATGCATCTTTAAGATGTATAAATACAGGAATCTAGTGCCAACTGACTAACAATATATACAATACGTCCCTAACAAATACAGAAATCTAGTGCCAACTGACTAACAATATATACAATACGTTCAAGTTCAGTATATTTTTAATTACAAGATGGAAATCTTTCAGTAATAGACACTGAAATATCTGCCACTATTTTTAAGAGAATGAGATCACATTGAGTGTTCTTCCTTGATCCAAAAGTTCTCTTTGCTATTTCAAACTGTAACCTCAGTTTTCCCTGGCAAGGGACTATAAGAAGTCTAGTCTAAATCAACTGAACACAACAGATTTAAGAAAGCTGCTGAATATGTACCTCAAAAAAATTAAAGTCTTTTCTTATTTTTAACTAGAAAATAAGTTTCATCTATCCTTCTATACAGTACACTATTTGGAACAATACTCCAGTGGTCCACAATTACTATTTACATCTCTCCACATTAACCCTCCGAAATAAAGATAACTATGTCCAAACACTGTTTGACTATTCAGATTAAACTCTCCTATAACAGGTTGAAGTTAGCTCATCACACTTGTTCAGAAAATATCCTAAGTCATCATGGGGTGGTTTGTTGTGGTTTGGCATATGGCAGGAAACCATTGTAGCCATGAAGCATAATTGATGGAAAACGTGGTTTTCTCAATAAACTACAGTTAAGCAAAACATACCACGATATGCACTCCGTCTCATTTTAACTTTTTTTTAAAAAAAATGTGTGTATTTTTATCCTGCCATTATTATTTTTATACCTGATTTAAGGTGGCGAACATAGCCAACACATCTTCCTCCTCCTATTCTTCCCTACAACAACAACACTGTGAGGTGGATTGGGCTGAGAGAGACTGGCCCAAAGTCACTCAACCGGTTTTCATGCCTAAGGTGGAACCAGAACTCGTGGTCTCCCAGTTTCTAGCTTAGAGCCTTAACCACTAGACCCGGGGTTTTCAAACTTGGCCCTTTTATGACTTGTGGACTTCAACTCCCAGAATTTCTTAGCCAGCATGCCTGGCTGAGGAATTCTGGGAGTTGAAGTCCACAAGTCATAAAAGGGCCAAGTGTGAAGACCCCTGCACCAGACCAAGCTGGCTCTCAATTTTTACACATTCACTCCTTACTTGTGCATTCCTAAATATTCCAGTATAAGCCTCAATGCACTAAATTGGTCTCCTTCTCTAATAAGTTAATTTCTTCAGCCTGAAGATTTCTAGATGGATAATAATGTCAGTTCCATGACCTCTAGACCATTATGGGATGCAAAGTGAAGCCCATCTGAAAAATCACTCTCAGGCAAGGTCTGGTCTGTATAGGAATAAAGTCTCAGCATAATAGTTGTTATGAATAAACGTAACCCATCGAATTTAATACAAATTAAATGATATAATGATGTAAATATTGGACAATGATATAATGTTTTATCATGGGAAGATTTCTGATAGATTCCACAGAATTAGTATTCATGCACACTTCGGAAACAGCAGCAACAAAAAGAGCTTTTTTAAAATTCATGAAAAAAAACCCACCTGTAATTATATTTTCTACACACACACACACACATACACAAAAACACACAGCATTCAACATTTTGATTATCTGAAACTTTTTTAAAAATCCATTAACATGCATTCTTATGGCCTTATACCATAGCAAATGGTTGCTTAGGTTTAGAATTTCTTGCCCTGAGATTTCAAATCAAATAAATAACAAGTGGCTTGAAATAATTTCAGGTTGTCTCCAAGACACTGTCCTTATTTAAGAACATGTAAACATATCAGGTATTTTGTCTTTTTTTTTACAGTTCATCCCACAAGCAGAGGGCAGCTTTCCAAAAATATGGCAGAGTTCTCACTCGGAGTTCTAGATTCTTACATTGAGTACATGCATTCCATGTCCATTTCCAGCTGGTGATGATTTCCTGGGAAAATTCAACGTACTGATTTACTTCCTTTAGCTGTGATCCAAAGTTCCTTGTCTTCCGTTTACGTCTCAGAAGGTAATTCAGACTTCAGTGTTTCTGTGTTTATTCCTGAACAGAGGAATGGTGGATGGATCTATGATAATCTTCTGAAGTGGTTATCTGTTCTGGTATATCGTAGCCTCTTAGAAAAGGTCCGGTGTTTTGCTGTGCAAAATAGTACAGCTGCCTAGCAAACACTGGTTCAACCTTAACAGTAAATCAGAAAAAGTAATGAGTTAAATGGTGATTGCTGGAGTAATAATGTTCTTTAATAATAATGTTCTGAAAATTTATTTAATCAATTTTATAGCTAATAGTAGTTCATAAAAATCTCACCATAAGCATGCATACAAATCGGTTGCCAGAACAAAGAGAATGTACCTGCTATCATGACAGCGAATAGATATAGTACTGGCAAATTTCAATATATAGACGACAAAATATATAAGGTTAAGAAAGCAATGTTGTGGATTGCACACAAACCTCCTTTTTATTTTTTTTATTATTACTGTTAACAATAGGGGCACATCTAAGATATCACCGGAATTACAGTGAAATTATTTAACCTGCTTTGCAATTCCCCACCCCCACACAAACACCAAGGGTCAGGTGGCTGTAAAACAGGGGTGTCAAACTCCCGGCCCACGGGCCGGATGTGTCACAACAAAACCGCGCCCACCCCATTGCTGGCAATGAGGAAAAAGCTTTGATACGTCACGCGACGTCACATGACTTTGCGAGTTTGACATGTCTGCTCTAAAAGGATTGACTTTTAGTATTCTAACTTTATATAGTCTTTATTAAGCTATTCATTAGTATTAATTTATTAAGCTATTCAGAATTCTTTTTAGGGGAAAATGTTAAAAATAAAGCAATTTAAAATTTGGTGATTTCCAGCAGTGCAGTTTGGATTTGTAAGTACATTAGCTGCAAGCTCAGACAGACCATGGAATATATGATAATTTCCATGTAAGGAGATGCTGATTTATTAACTGAAATTTCAAAGGTTTAGCATTCACTAAAAGTAAAGATGCAATTGTCAATTACATGGGAATTATGATTGTATATTGCGGGACAGTATAATTAGAGAAATTGTGATTATATTGTCAAGCAATATGAGTTATTTACATCTGTAGCTTTGGTTTGAGGTTATCCTGATGATATAAGAAGAGCTGAACATTTCTGAAACTGCCAATCATTTGTCTTCTACATATCAATTGATCAAGCATTTGAATATTGTAAATCAATTTTATCAAGCATTTATCTCAGTCCCCTCCTTTCTAATTAGCCATACCTTTAGCATTTACTGTATATACTGTATTACATAAATCAATTCACATATACTTACATGGGCTGTAATTTGCTTTCTCTGTCTTTGTGGCTCAGGAAACTCTTCTCCAAAACATAATACAATCTGGAATCTAGGTAATGGACGCCCATGGTGGGCAAATATTTGCAGTTCTAGAAAACAAACAGAAATATTATACCTTGAGGATTAAATTTAGAACTGTGATGGAATAATGCATGAAAAATCATCTTACGTCACGTGATGTTGCGAGTTTGACACCCCTGCTCTAGTGCTTACAGATAGATAAAACAAAATCAATAAAATCCCTAGAGAATGCAACAAAATTAAAACAATTTCATTCTTCAAATTCACATTTTCAAAATTATTATTATAGCCAAAGGTAATGCATAAAGTTCTAGGCCAGGGGTGTCAAACTGCCAGCCCGCGGGCCAGACGCATCATCACAAAACCGCGCCCACCCCATTGCCGGCAATGGCAAAAAAGTTCCGATATATAGCACGATGTCACGTGAGGTCGCGAGTTTGACATGTCTGTTCTAGGCTAAAGGTAAGCTAGAATTAATATCATTATTTAAAATATCCAACAATCACACCAATAGCCCTTTTTATACAGTAAGGACAGAGCTCAAAGTTGGTTATGAAGTAAATACTAGGCATATATTTTCAGCAAAGTATCTGAAGCCAATTCTTTGTGACTCTGATAACAAAGACATCAAGAATACAGTAACTTTCATAATAGATTTTGTATAGGAAGAGAGAACCCTGCAGATGTGTACAATTTTAAGAGAATGAAATCCTTGAATTAGGTCAAGAACTAATAGGTAATCCTGTGTAACTGGAGAATTATGTATTATAGTTAAATTTTTTAAAATATGTTTTATTTATTTTTAACATAATCACTGTAATATTTGTTAAAGAGTGTGTTGTCTGGGTTTATATTTAAAAAACAATCAATAACAATTAGTTTTTATAATTCTATAGTCCACATACAGTAATAGCTTTGCTTGATTGTCTTCTCTTCCAATAATATTTTCTTTTGCCAACTTTGAATTAATACAATTATAGACATTTTTCTAATAATTCTGCAAATAATAACCACATCAATATAAAGCTTCTTTTCTAACTGATCATCTTGATTACCTCATCATAGATCCTATTTACAAAATTCTTATTTAAATTTGTTTTCCCGACAATATTTAAAACATTCCTATTGGTTAAGCTTTTCTCAAAATTAATTACATTTAAGTATTTAAGTCTTTTTCTTCATACAGGCCATCCCAACACTTTTACATTTTTCATATCTTCAAAAACAGAAAAAAGAAAAAAGAAAAGAAAAATAAATAAGAAGATAGTATACTACTTAGAATACAAATATGTCCCATATTTGGCTGCCTGATTATGTACTAGTAGGTGAAGTTTATGAAAAATGTTCACAAGTACTAACACATCACAATAAACTTCAAATTAACAGATCATGAATAATCAAGACGAGGTTTTAACTCTAAAGATAGCAGTAGTTAGCAATCCATCATTAAATTTAACAGGACTTCTAGTGGCAAAGTTGGATTTAGGAACATGCCTAAAATATGAATTCCTTTTTCAAGAGAAGTGTAACTATATCTTAAAATAGTGGAACTCAGTTGCTACAAATCGAAGAACTATCTGTTTGCAGTTATATTCTCATCAGCATTCAGCTCAGAGGCATCTGCAGGTGATGGAGGGCAAGCGGAGTGAATGACAAAAGCATTAACCTGAAGGCAGGACAAGAAGCAATGGGTGGAAACTAATCAAGGAGAGAAGCAACCTAGAACTACGGAGAAACTTCCTGACAGTGAGAACAATTAATCAGTGGAACAATTGCCTCCAGAAGCAGTAAATGCTCCAACACTGGAAGTTTTTAAGTTAAGTTTTTAAGAAGAGACTGCCTGAGCAGGGGGTTGGACTAGATGACCTCCAAGGTACCTTCCAACTTTATTATTATTATTATCGATCATTGCACAGTCAGCCAGATGTTCAGACTGGATTTGGCATTTTGTCTACCTATCGAGTCCTTACCCAGGACCTGGGATAGGCAGATGTGGATGTTTGATGGTATTACAGATATCGTCGCAGGATGGAAGCAGTTCCTAATAAGGCTGCCTTTTGCAAGTGACTAATAGCGAATTTGTCAATGCCAATGGTGTTCAAGTGGTGCTCCAGTTGTTTTGGGATTGCACCCAAGGAGCCTATGACTATTGGTACTACCCTTGCTTGCATTTGCCACAGTCTTTCTATTTCTATTTGTAGGTCTTTGTATTTTGTTATCTTTTCCAGTTCTTTCTCTTCTATTCTGCTATCTCCAGGCACTGCCACGTCCACTATCCAGACTTTTTTGTCTTTCTTATCGACAATTGTTAAGTCTGGGGTGTTATGTTGCAGGTGCTTGTCTGTTTGAATTATGAAGTCCCAGAGCAGTTTAATTTTATCATTTTCTATGACTTTCTCTATTTTATGATCCCACCCGTTTTTGCTTACAGGCAAATGATATTTTTTGCAGATCTTCCAATGCACCATTGTTGCTACTTTGTCATGCCGCTGCTTGTAATCAGTCTGTGCAATCTTCTTGCAACAGCTTACCAAGTGGTCCACTGTTTCTTCAGCTTCTTGCATAGGCGGCACTTACTGTCTGTTGCTGTCTTCTCAATTTTGACTTTGTATGCATTTGTCCTTAAGGCTTGGTCTTGTGCAGCCAGAATTAGTCCCTCGGTCTCTTTCTTCAATTTTCCTGCTCTTAGCCATTGCCAGGTTTTATTGTTATCTGCTTTCCCAGCTATTTTTTTCATGTATCGGCCATGTAGTGCTTTGTCTTCCCATGCATCTATTCTGTTCTTCATTTGGTCTTTCTTGAAGGCCAGTTTGGTCTCTCCAGTAGTTAGTAAGCCTTCCTGATATACTAATTTCAGTGCATCTTCATCATTGTTCTTCAGATATTCTTCCAAAGCCATTTGTTCTTCTTCAACCATCTGATGTACTTGTAGCATTCCACGCCCACCTATTTGCCTTGGTAGATAAAGTCTATCAATGTCACTGCGTGGATGAAGGGCATGATTCATTGTCATTATTTTTCTGGTCTGCCTATACATTGCTTTTAGTTCTGCTTGAGTCCAGTCCACTATTCCAGCTGTGTACCTAATGACTGGGATTGCCCAGGTGTTGATTGCCTTTATGGTATTTCCTCCATTGAGTTTGGATTTTAAGATCTTCTTCACTCTCTTGATGTATTCACCTCTAATCTTTTTCTTGACTTCAGTGTGCTTGATGTTGTCAGCTTATTATTATTATTATTATTATTATTATTATTATTATTATTATTATTAACCCACTGTTACGACCCAAATATTATATATTACATATGTATGAAAGGAACAGAGCTGTTGTGCTGGTGGCATCATGCTGCTGTTATAATTTTGATAAAAGCTTTCAACACTATGTATTCCTTAATTCAGCTGTATTGTTTTGGCAGTCATCTGGTTCAGTATTCAATATGGGAACTAGTTCACCTTCTTCTCTTCTGTTTAGTACATTTTAAATCAAAGCTCTATTTACAGCCCTACAAGGTAGACACAGCAGAAAATCAACTTCACAGAAGGCTAAAACTAGTTTTATTGAGATTGGTTATAGCAGAATTTTGAAAGTCAGATTGTGCTATGCTTCCTTCTTAAAATTCAGTGAATTATGGAGGTGTCTACCTAAGATACTTCCAGATATTATCTCATAATTCTGGGCTTAAAAAACGGTTCAGACTCTTCTGCCTAGATAACAGGTTTTGTACATCCTCCTTTCTCTATACATTTATGCATTAACCTTGGCACTTTAGCCACTTTAGCTGACTGTGTTCAGCAGGTCAGCGGTTCAAATCTCACCGGCTCAAGGTTGACTCAGCCTTCCATCCTTCCGAGGTAGGTAAAATGAGGACCCAGATTGTTGGGGGCAATGTAAAATATATATCCATTGCTTACTGGTGTACACCGCTTAGAGAGTGCTTGCACTTAAAGCGGTATATAAGTCTCATAAATAAATAAATAAATAAATAAATAAATAAATAAATAAATAAATAACCAACAATGTGAATCATAGTGAGAAAATGCAGAATACTATAGTAGTAACAGATCAGCTGTGTTAAACTTCAAAGAAAAGGGAGAAAATGAGGCCTACCACAATTATTTTTCTGTAGTAGCTATGTGTTCATGTAATAAAGTTTTAGCTAAATTAAAAGACTATGCTCAAAGAGCAACATGTTGAATATAATATTTATCAGATTTTAGAAAATGAAAAGCAACAACATATTTTAAAAGTTCTTATGTACATCACAATGTATTGGAAAAAGGATTACCGTATTTTCCGGCGTATAAGACAACTGGGCGTATAAGACGACCCCCGACTTCAGAGCCGATTTGAATGCTTTAGAAAGTCATCTTATACGCAGGAAAATACGGTACTTTCTTACATTCTGTTAATTCTAGAATCATCTATTTCTGGGGCATAATGAATCTTAAGCAGAGTAAGGTTTGCCAGAGCTGGGTTTTCAAAACAAATCTCCAAATTCTAACCATATCACATATCTAAATAAAAATCAATAAACATTTAAAACCCTGCTGCATTTTGAATGTATGTATGCAAATGTGTTTCTCTACTGCCAAAGCAGAGAAGCTGGGGAAAGGGCAACCTTAAAGGTAAACAAAGGCTGGGTTTCAGATATTGCAGAAGCCCAGAGGCTGGATTCAAAATTGATAGGATGGAGCAGCTGCAAATTCGATATGTGGTTATAGGAAGTCAGTATGTAAAATAGCAAAAGAACCAATTTTAAGGACAAAGACTCAATTGCAAACACAATGGTAACTTATATTTAAAAATTACCTGATAAAAATTTCTGAGTATCAAAAAGCTTGCACGTCTGCTCTCTTTCCAATTTGTTAGGCCTGTCGCTACAGAATGCCAGAGGCCCATCCCAATATATCCGGCTTTGACAAAGTCTCTTAGCATAGAGGCCATCGTGGGTCATCCAGAGTATTACTCCTCTTTCCAGGTGAGAAAGCAATTTTTCAATTGTTTTCCTCTGATTATGATCTTCCGGATAAGGGAACATAACTTGGTCCATGCTGCTGATCTCATAACTATGACCATGAGTTATCCTACAGCCCTCAGGACTTGAAGTTGTGACTTCTTTTACGAGAGTTTCATGATAATACAAACAGATGTGCAATCGACAATCTGAAAACACATGTATGCAAAATTATTTTTAACCTTTGGTAATGGACAGCTGCATTTCCTGTAGTTTAACAGTATAATGGACTTGAGCAATACGTTTTCACCCATTCCTGATTTATTAAATAAACATTATAGCAAAACCTATCAGAAACTGGTCCCAATTCTGTCCAGTAGAACTCTTGAGAAAATAAAAGGCATAAGGCCATATTCTGAATCTCAGATTAACATTTAATGTGGAAATTGTAATTATTTCTCCTTCAAATATACTATGATAGAGATTATAGTAGATTAACAGTAACTGAGTTCAAATATTGCATTAAGTAATATTTAAGTAACATTTTGGCATAATGCATTGTGTGAACCCAAAATATCGTGGCTTACTGAACAAATCATTGTTAAGCATACTGCCTTAGCGTTAATCCACTAAGTATATTTGCATGTGTGTATATAACTACATGCAGTGCTTTTTTTCTTAAAAAAAAAAAAAAGGTGCCAGAACTCACACAAGTCATACAACCCACCTTGCCTACCCTACAGAGTTCCATCTAAAAAAGGTGCCGGAACTCCGTTCTGGGCATTCTATGAGAAAAAAAAGCCCTGACTACATGCTAAAAATATTCTGTACAATATTTAATAAAGCTAACCACTGCTAAATTCAGTAATGTCAATGGACCATAATGTGTGATATTGGAGTATAATTTCTTGGTTTAAGTATATACTTGGAGTATATCCAAGTATAACCATGCTATGGGCTCATTTATAGCACAGATGAAGAACTACTTGGCACTATCATAGTTTAAAGAAATGCAGCCAAAGAAAATATGTGTAGTATGAGAATAATCAGAGCTTTAAATACTACTACAAAGTAAAGGGCCTAAAATCCTTGAAAAATAATTTCCTACTCATTCACCAACTGACCTATTCAGTAGATACCAATTTTCCCTGTTAGGCAATAGTGTAAACAAGTATGAACCATATTCTGGGGAATAAGAAAAGATTTGTTTGTAAATCGAATTAGGAAGCTGCCAAAGAAAAGGAAATTATATGAGTTGAATTGCTTCAAAAACTATGATAATCTCAGAGTTCTGGGCAAAATTGCATCTCTTAAATGGGATCTTCACTTTCTGGTAATCTAGAGAACAGCATTTGCATTTAATGAGATAATCAAAACATTAATTCTAATATTATGAACTTTAATCAATTTAATATGCATCTTGTATAAATGATATTTATTTATATTTTTTCACATTTTACAATCCACTTGCTCCTAGTAAAGTCAGCCTGTAGCCATTAACAGTATGAGACAGCATCAGCAGTAAACTCTTACAATTACAAAGTTATAATTACATCCATACAATGCAACATAAAATGCACAAATAATATAAAATAATAGAATATTTTTTAAAAAATTAAAAACAAGAGCAATCCAACCACCATCCATAAAGCCATAATCCTAAAGGGGGAAAATGGAGGTATACAATAGATTTTTAGCCTCTTCTTGAAGGGAAGTAGGACAGACAGGAAGTGATCAGTATTACAATGGGAAGGGAATTCCACAAAGCAGGTGCCACTCCGAAAAAGGCCTTTAGCCCTGTATATTCCAACTAAATCTTTCTGATCATCAACCCCAGGACGCCTTTTGAAGATTCCTGATACTTCTAGTTCATAATATAACATAGTATAATAAAATTCTCAAATAGTTTAATCTGTAATTACAATTTTCACTTTTCCACCCAATTTTATTTATTTGTGTCCTATCCTTATTATTTTTACACATAATTCAAGGCGACAAACGTATCCAGCCCACCTTCCTCCTCAGTCTGTGATTTCTCTAGCTCATCTCTAGTTAGGATTAGATAGCCTGGTTAGAAGGTGGTGAGATAAATTTCTGGAGAGCCACTTTTAGGCAGATATTTGTATTTTGATGCAAAATGTTTATTTATTTATTTTTATGCTGCCTGTATTATTTCCTGGCTGGCTCAGGAATTCTGGGAGTTGAAATCCGCAAGTCGTAAAAGAGCCAAGGTTCCCTACCCCTCCACTAGACCAAATTTTCTGTAATATGCATTCCTTTCTTAATTCTATGTGGCATGCAGAGTGACTTTAAGATAATTTTGATTCCCGATAACTGTCTTGGAATCATTTTTTGACTCTGATAACTGCCTGGAATAACCTTTGCAGTTTTCTGGGCAAGATTTTGGAAGTGGTTTGCTATTGCTAGCTTCTTAGGGATAAGAGAGTGTGACTGGCCCAAGGTCACTTATCAGGCCTCCTGCATAAGGTGAGACTAGAACTCATGCTGTCCCAGGTTCTAGCCCAGTGGTTCTCAACCTTTCTAATGCCGTGACCCCATAATACAGTTCCCCATGTTGTGGTGACCCCCAAGTGGGTGTGGCCACCAATAAGAGGGAGTAGGACAGCTAGCGAAAAGGGAAAAAATGGCGGACAGCGTGGTTTGGCGACCCCCGTGAAATGGTCGTTCGACCCCAAATGGGGTCCCGACCCACAGGTTGAGAACCACTGTTCTAGCCTGATGCCTTAACCACTACATCATACTGGCTCCTTTTCAATTAAATGTACATGTATTTTTACACAGAAGAACAAATGCAGATGAATTTTCCCTTATGAGCATTTTTATCAATCACAAGTTCATTGTGATTTATTAGAGAGTGATGGTGTACATACCTGACAAGGGAAGACCTTCAGTAGATCTGATATTTCCCTCTATTGGGATGCCAGAAGTCTGTGTCTCAGGTGGTGCACAAGCATAAAAAGTCCCAGTTACTTGACAACCTACTTTCATACCCAAAAAAAAAAAAAGTTTTCACAAAGCAAAATGAACCCGACTGAACATCCAATAACATTCAAAACTTTCATCTGCTAGAATGGAAACAATTATCAATATGTAATACTCTCATTCCTTTAAATATTTTCCACTGTTCATTCTTAAGATTGATACATTTTCCTTATTAAACCATGGCTTCTTTGGTGAATCATCTGACAGAACTTCCCACTAACTGACTGTGTGAAACCTCTGTAAATCATAATGCTTTTATCCCCTCTGAACACAATAATATGAACACAGGAACTGGGGAGTTAAGGGTGATGGGAAGACTAACTAAATAGGAGCACTTTATCCATTTTAACTCACATTAGCATTATATTTATAATAAGATTGGACGGGTCTTCTTGTACTCTATCACAAGTAATGGTTTTTGGACTGCTTTAGAGCTATCACCTGTTTCCAATGATTTGCTTTATGAAAATTATTTTAAATTCAAGGGCTTCTGTCCTAGTATTTCAATCTAAATGAAATCAGCTAGCATCCTATATGTTTATTAAAATAAATCCTTCCTTAAATGCATATGCCAAAATTTGCTATCATACATTGAAGGCCAATGTAAGGTTCTATAGAATTACATTCTGTCCAAATGTATCTTTTGCTAACTCTACAAGCAATTAGTGGGCCAAATTTAAAGTAAAGGCATCCTGGCTCAGTTTACACGATACAGCATACCACAGAAGACTAAAATGGGATCAGGCATTTTGTGGTTCCTATGCTGTGGGAACACAAACATTTTAACATACTGTACAAGCATGATAACCACATTTAGTCCTATTTTATTATGGTGGCCTAGCATGTCACGTGAATTTGCACATTGTGGACATGGTTTTACAGCTTAGCATATTGTATGAAGTCAGCTCCTGTATGTAGTGTAAATATATCTTCCTATCCCTGGAGTGATTTTTTTTTTTTTTATCTAGTGTTGGCTAAGCATCCTGTTCACTTTAAATTATCATTTGTACCTTTCAAGTATTAAAATGAAATTAACGGAAAGCCTTAATTACATATAGGTTCCACGTGGGAGGATTAGTGGCAAAGTTACTTTTCATCACCCTCATAAGTGTCAATGGCTGCTGAGCAAGGCAGTTGCTAAACGAGAACCAGCTGCATTTTTCTATTTGGAATTCCTTCTTTTAATGAAAGGAATCTCCATTTTTGGGAAGTCAGAGTAAAATTAATAAATTAGTGTTCTAATAAGGACAAGAGAAATTTTATCTTATGATAAAAAAAAACATGCTTTGATGCCCTGGATGATAAATTCAGACTGCAAGTGTCCATTTTCTCTCACAATAAAAGCAGATCATAACATCATTTCCTTCCAGAACCCAAGAAATCTCTATTCCCCATTCAATCCCTTATCATAGAATTTGTAAAGGTAGACAGCAAACATGGAGAATTTAAAGTGCCTAAGTATAATCCATTCAAAAAGAATTATAATGTTTCATTAATATCAGTCAAAACATTGAGAAGTAATTTTTTCAATCACTGAAATCCATGCAGTTCAGAACTGCTTATTTTTTGTTGCACTATGCCAAATGCTAGCTTAATTCCATTGCATTAAAATTGATGGGATTTGTTCATAAATAAGCATTTAGAGCAGTGATTCTCAACCTTTCTAATGCCGTGACCCCATAATACAGTTCCCCATGTTGTGGTGACCCCCAAGTGGGTGTGGCCACCAATAAGAGGGATTAGGACAGCTAGGGAAAAGGGAAAAAAATGGCGGACAGCATGGTTTGGCGACCCCCATGAAATGGTCATTTGACCCCAAATGGGGTCCCGACCCACAGGTTGAGAACCACTGATTTAGAGAATAGACATAAAGAAACAAAGCAGTATTTTTGTCTATTTAGTTTTGTATGATTTTTTAAGTTTACGAAGGTAAAGAATAAACTGTTCTCATGATAACTAAAAACCTTGAATACATTCGTAATCAGAAGTTGGCTGTTCTTCCTTATCCGCTTTGTTTTCTCCTTTAGTTTAGATTTGCATAGCAAAGCACTCCAATCTTCATTGAGAATATAACATTTGTTTTACGCATTTAGTTACCTGCATAGTATAAACTGCACTTAACTGTTTTTAATAGATTTCAGGAATGTGGAACTATTCAAGTAATTGTGTAATTCTCTGAAATTCAATATAAAAACCCTTTCCTTAGTGTGTATCATAATATTCTTCTTTATACTATGCCAACTTTTTGCAAATATAGGAATTGTGAGACACATAGAAAGTTCTGCCCTTGCCAGAATTAGCTCAATCATTTTAGTGGAGATGAAAACTTCATGCAAGCCAAAGTATCCACGGAGTACCACAAAGTTCCGTCTTAGGCCCAGGACTCTTCAATATCTTCATAAATGACTGAGATGAGTGAATAGAAGATGACATTAAGCTGGCAGGAGTAGCCAACACACTAGAAGACAAGCTCAGGATCCAAAAAGTTCTTTACAGATTTGAATAATGGGCCCTACTCAACCACATCAAATTTAATATGGAGAAAAGCAAGGTTTTGCATCTGGGTATAGGAAAAACCAAAGATACAAGTACAAATTAGGTGAAACTTGGCTCAAAGACAGTAACTGTGAGAGGGACCTTGGAGTCCTAGTGGACGACCATTTAAATATGAGGCAGCAGTGTGCAACCAAAGAAAGCCATAGAATCAAAATCATGTGAAATATTAGTACTCCTTTATAAAGCTTTAGTAAGGCCACACCTGGAGTACTGCATCCAGTTTTGGTCACCACGTTACAAAAAAGATGTTGAGGCTTTGAAAAAAGTGCAAAGAAGAGGAACTAAGATGGTTAAGGGCCTGGAGACAAAAACATATGAAGAATGATTTCAAGAATTGGGTAGGGCTAGTCTAGAGAAAAGAAGGACTAGATAGCAGTAATCCGGTATTTGAGAGGCTCCCACTGAGAGGAGGAGGTCAACTTATTTTCCAAGGCACCAGAGGGCAGGACAAGAAACAATGGATGGAAACTAATCAAGGAGAGAAGCAACCTGGAATTAAGGAGAAACTTCCTAACAGTGAGGACAATTAAGCAGCGGAACAGCTTGCCATCAGAAGTTGTGGGTGCTTCATCACTGGAGGTTTTTAAGAAGAGATTGGATAGCCAATTGTCTGAAATGGTATAGGGTCTCCTGCTTGAGCAGGGGGTTGGACTAGAAGACCTTCAAGGTCCCTTCCAGCTCTATTCTGATTGAATTGAATTTCTACTCTCTGCTGAAGTAAACAAATCCAATTTCTTAAAAAAATTCTTTTCTTGACTTAGATGCACATGGAATCCTAAATCAGGAACCATCCACTATTTATTTCATAAGGTAAATAAAAATAGTCTGCAGCTCTATTGAATACAATGAGAATGTCTTACCATTCTGACATGATGGGCCTTGCCAGTGATGATTACGAGGTGGAAAAGAGACACTTGTACACTGGTATGAAAGATCAGGATGGGACTGGTCTGGTATGTATTCCCTCCAGTTACGGTCATGAGGTACCATGTAGTTAGGCACCTGTATATTTTATTAAAATATCACATGTCTTATTTGCAGCCAGTTACTAAAAAGAAAAACAGTGCTAATTCATTTTCAGCTTTCTAATTATATTCCCTTTTTGGTATATCTGTAAAATTAAAACTCAGACAAACACAGTGTTGAGCTTGCTTACAGATAATAAAGGGTTTCTGGAGAGACAAAGCTGTATATATCTCATTAATATACAAACTTATGGGTATCTCTTCAAAAGTAAATCCCACTGAATACAGGCACCTGTCTCCCTGATAAATAAAATAGGATGAGAACTCAATTATTATCCTTTTACTTCCATCAGGCTTAAATACAGACACACACATACACATCACTGAAACTGAATCCAGTTAATATCTTTATATCTAATACAGTGAAGACTCAATAATTCCTGAAATTCATTATATGATTCTGTGGAGGCCCAGTTTTCTGTAGATATATTTGCAACGTACAGGTAGTCCTCAACCTACAACCACAATTGAGCCCAAAATTTTTGTTGAAAAGTGAGACATTTGTTAAGTGAACTCTGCCCCATTTTATTACCTTTCTTGATACATTTGTTACATGAATCACTGCAGTTGTTAAGTGAATCTGGCTTCCCCATTGACTTTGCTTGTCAGAAGGTCGCAAAAGGCGATCACATGACCCTGGCACACTGCCACTGTCATAAAAGTATGAATCAGTTGCCATGCATCTGAATTTTGTTCCTATGACCATGGGGATGCTGCAATGGTCTTAAGTGTGAAAAACAGCCATAAGTCGCTTTTTTCAATGCCGCTGTAACTTTGAACAGTCACTCAATGAACTGTTGTAAGTCGAGGACTATCTGTATGTGCAGTGTTTCATGGAAAGGGACTAACAGGGGACTAACAAGGGACTAACAGGGGACTTTAAGCTTATAATGCATTGAATATATAGAGTGAAAGTTGCTGACAGTGAAGAATGTATTGATACAGTTAAACAATGCAATGAATGCAACTGCACAAATTAGGTGCTCTTATTTAAAAACAAAAATAAAATATTTCAGTTATATACTGAAATATACAGGAGAAATGAAATGAAATATGGTAAGAGTTCTGATACTCATCAAAATCTATCACAAGAACACTTATAAAATTCCTTTGGAAATATCTGATTGTTTATATTGGATATTTTTTGCCATTTGTTTTCATTCTTATCCTAATACAAGGAAATGTGTCATCTTTACATTTTCATTCTCCAATATACAAAACTAGAATAAATGCAAGGGTCATACCTGAGGCTGTAGTGCAGAATATGATGAATTTAGAGTGAAAGCGTTGTTCATAATCATCTGTGGATCTTCCAGGCTAAGTTGTTTTGATCCTGTACATTATTTGTAGACAGAAAAAGGGTGGTTTATATAACTTTGTAAAAATAGTATCTTGGGAGTATTTAAAAATGAAATCCCTACTATTAATTTCTAGCAGAAATAATAGTTCCGGCCACTTTATAGATACAAAGTTCATTTGCATTGTTAGAAAAAAGGCAGAAATCTAAAAGTGTATAATGAGAAAACCTACCTACCTACCTAATGTGTGTATATCTATATCTATATCTATATCTATATCTATATCTATCTATCTATCTATCTATCTATCTATCTATCTATCTATCTATCTATATGTAGATATATGTATATCTGTATATGTAGGTCATATACATATCTGTATATGTGTATATATGTACATATACACATACATATAATATACATATACATACATATACATATAATACACACATGCGCACACACACACACACACACATATATATATCCTCATCACATCCAATCATCTTGGAAAACTAAGTTAATTAACTAGCAGAGTTAATTGGCTGAGCACCTGTTCCATTGCAATATTTTTACACAGCTTTCTCTGATCTATGAATTGGGTAACTTTCTTCTCAAACCCTGCTTCCAGAATTCTTCGTCCTCTACCTCTCCAGAAGCTAAGGGTTGTTCCCCCACCTCTCTGATTCAAAAAAATTAAACATGTTGAGATGAAAAGCAAGGAGGTGGGAAATGTGTTGGCTGACTCTTGCTTTTTTGGACTATTGGATATCTGGCTGGCACAAGGTGATGAAATGCAGGGGTAGGGGGAATAGTGGTGGAGCATTATATAGTGGCACAGAAATTATTGTTATGGGGAAAGAGGAAAAGCTGGTGCCCGTATGGGAGAGGAATAAGACTCCACGTTTGAAAGGGAGAAAGCAGGTATTAACAGTATAACAGAGTTGGAAGGGGTTTTAAAGGCCTTCTTCTCCAAACCCCCTCCCTCTGCTCAAGCACGAGACCCTGTACCATCCCAGACAAATGGCTGTTCAGTCTCCTCTTAAAAAGCTCCAGTGTTGGAGCACCCACAACTTCTGGAGGCAGGTTGTTCCATTGATTAATTGTTCTCACTTTCAGGAAACTTCTCCTTAATTCTAAGTTGCTTCTCTCCTTGATTAGTTTCCATCCTTTGCTTCGTGTCCTGCCCTCAGGGGATGGACAATAGGTCAACCCCTTCTGACAACCCCTCAAATATTGGAAGATTGCTATCAAGTCACCCCTAATCCTTCTGTTCCTCAGACTACATATACCCAGTTCCTGTAATGGTTTATTGTATGTTTATCCACTAGTCCAGTGATGGCGAACCTTTTAGAAACTGAGTGCCCCAAAACTGACCCCGCCCCACTCCATTTCCCCTACCCTGCCCCCCTATCCCCCGCCTCGCCTGCCTGCAGGACCACTCACCACCTCCAGGGTCTGCTGCAGATCCCCCAGGCAGCCCAGCAGCGCTATGGCAGCTATGGCTGCGCCCTGCAGCATCAACTGTGTATGATAGGGTGTAAGGGCAGAGTCTTGTCTACGCTGCCTGGCTACTATGTCCTTGGCTGCGCTGCTCTGTGTGGGCCACACTCAGGGGGCAACTCTCCTTCAAGGGGGCTTCTAGAGAGGAGGGGGTCATGGGGGAGGCGAGGCTGGGGCAACTGCACGTATGCCCACAGAGAGGGCTCCGAGGGCCACCTCTGGCACCCGTGCCATAGGTTCGCCACCACTGCACTAGTTCCTTTGTTGGTCTTCTCTACGCTCTTTCTAGATTATCAACATCTTTTTTGTAGCTCTAGGCAATTAACCAGTGAGGAGTATCATATTCAAATCCCCAATGAAGGATAAACAGTGATTGCCAGATGCTTTCAAAGCTCAGTTTAAGGCGCAGCACTACCTTTTTTTGCTCCTTCCGGTATTATTCTATATACTTTATATGGGTCTGATATGTCCAATTGACTTCTTTCCACCAGTTCTTCAAAATCATTGCTCTTGTTCAAAGCACAACGCAGCCTTGTCTTCCAAGTGGGAGGATCTGGTTTATCAATGCCTTCTCTGAATTTCCCTTTGAATAGAGCCCAAGCCTGAAAATATTTGCAGAAGTTAATCAAAATATGGATCCTCCAGAACAGCCTATGGCATTAACAACAATAATATAAATATCACACTAATAAATATCACACTAATAAATACAATTTCCACAGAACTATCATGGGGCATGCTATGGGACTCATATTTTCCTACGGGTAGTTCTGTCTAGGATCTCATTGTCAGTGTAGGACAACCCTTGAACAGATTCAGCAGTAAGGTAATTAGACACAGTTTCAAGATTCATTATATCCATTTCACTTCTCTATGAACTAGATGGTGTGACATTTTTCAAAAACTGAATATTTGTAACCCATTCTTCACCATTTCACTTCAAGTTTTCTTTGCAGAGATATGGCAACTAAAGCAAGCACAGAAACCTTACTGCATCTTCTATAAGTTGTGTAACATCTAAACCAACCTTAAATCCAGATGGCAGAAAGCAAAAACTATATTAGAAAAAAACAATGTGTACTCAATAAGCAAGTGCACTAATGTTAAATGTGATGGTTGAATAACTAAGGAGAAAGATTGTGCCATATGAATTCTACCAGTAGGGTATAGAGTTGCTTTTAAAAAAAATACTTACTATTAAAAGTAATTAGCTGAACTCATTTTAGCAGAAATTTAACAGCATTGCTTCAGGTAATACTCCTCAATAACAATATAAACAAGGGAGTTTTAGAAATAAATTCTTACTAAACAGTTATGGCGCTTGCTGAAGTTAATGAAAAAGTCTGCAATCCTATTCAAAATTATACACAAGTCCAATTGATATCTATGGGATTAAAGTATATGCAACTGTGATCAGGCTTGCAGACCTAATGAATTAAGCCTTGGGGCAATTAATCAAATGAGAAAAAAAGAAATTATACAGCATGGTAGGAATCTGCCAAGTGTGACAGAAAAGCATTTTAGTTCAGCAACATCTAGGATGTAAGTTGAAGAAAGAAAATAGGATAGTATTGTCAGTAATTTAAGTTAAGGGTGAGATCTCCCAACTGGAACTATATGCAAAACAGCAGCTCAGAAATAAGGGTGGATGCCCACAGAGGATTAAGGAGCAAGGCAGTTCTAAGTGCATTGCAATGGAGGAATTTGTTTTTAGCAGCAAAACTGACCTCGTGCCACATTCATACAAAAACCCATTTCTATTCCCTTTCCCTCAAGCTTTATTCATTAAAGCACCCCATGTTGAGGATGATGGAAGTGCTATCAAGCACCTGAAATTCAAAAAGCCTTTTGGATCGATTGCAAATCTTAATCTACCTTTTTCTTGTGATTTCCATGACTTTTTGCTTGAAGCAATAGCAAGAATTGCCTTAAAATAAAATTTAAAAATTGCTTAATTCTAGTATTTGGTGAGATTTTTTTTTTTCTTATTCTAGTGTGTACTAGGTTATAAAAGCAGTTTGTGGCAATTCCCATTTTAAGCCTACAGCTTTGGAGAAGGTTTTGTTATATTGGGAAATTAATCTCAGAATTTAATTAATAGTGGGTAGTGCCTGGAATTAGAGTTGAGAAACCTAGATTCAGATCCCAGATAAGTCATTTAATTTATTAGGTATCCTTTGTTAGTGTGTCTCTCGGGGCTTCTATCTTGTTGTGGAAATAAAACAAAAAAAAAAAAGGATTCATTCTTTGGGCACACTGAATTCACACCCATGCGTGTGCTTCATTACATATGTGACTTTTCTCCACTGGAAAATGTGATGTTTTATTATAGTCCCTATGTGAGGAACATGCAGGTTGAAATGAATCCTAGGTTTCAAGTATTAACTCTGATAATCTCACCATTATTAGCAAGCTCCACCTTACCACCACTGCCAAATAGGTAAAAGCTGCAAGTCCCATCGATCTTATAGGTGCCCTGTCTCTCACACAGAGTTAATAATTAAAGCAGTCAGTAAAACTGACTGGCATTGTCAACTCCAACCAATATCAGAGTACCTCTTCTTTCTTCACAAAGTTCATTTTTGGGTGCAGTATGCACAAGATCCCATTTGAGAGGAAGGGGGGGGGAAAGTATCTCATTTTCCAGATGAAGTCTGTTGAATGAAGACGAATTCATCAAATTGTTCCAACTAGCCTTCCCAAACGGATACCCTCTTCATGCCTTGAACTATAGCTCCCATTACCCCTATCAGAATGAAGGATGGGCTACACAGTGAGTATATTTTCTTGGGGGGGGGGTCGGGGCATAAAACGGGAAAACCTGCAAAAGGGAGAAGAAATCTGAAGCAGGTGCCTCAAGATGAGGAAAATGAATTGTACAGCAGAATTTACAAACTTGATGAAAAAAAAAAAGGGGGGGGGGAGAAGAAATCAAGAAGAAAACCGAGATCATAAATAATTAAATCAAATTAACCTTAAAGGACAGCTTTCTGGAGGGAGGGGGGAAGACTGGGCTTTATAATAAAGAGCACGCGGTCGCTGTCAAGATAGCACTCCTAAAGCACACCAGATTAGAGAAGAAAGCTGAGGCCACTTTCCTCAGAGGGACCTTGCCCTCAACTTCTAAAAGCAAGTGGCCGCGGCCCCCTCAGCCAGCTTCTCAACCCTACCAACTAAGGTGGCTTTTGCGAGCGACTGATTGACGGCTTCGCGCGCTCCCCCTCCCCTCTGCCGCCCCCCCCCCCAGGAAGGCGTCTCCGCTACCTTGAAGAGAGCGGCGTCCTCCTCGCGGTTGTAGTCCTGTTTGCCCGCGTGCTTCCAGGGGATGCGAAAGATGCTCTTCTCCTCGTTCTCCCATATCAGGCCCGGGTATTTGGTGCTGTCAATCTGCTCGATCAGCCACTGCCGGAGTTTCCCGTTGCCGCAGCTCACCGAGCTCATCCCGCCGCCCTCGATGCTGCTGCTGCTGCTGCTGCTGCTACCGCCGCGGCTGCCTTCTAAGTTCATACCAGGCGCCCCGCCAGCCTCGGCTCCTCCCGCTCCTCCCCTGACGAAGGAAGGAAGGAAGATGGGGAGGGAGGAAAGTGAGCGCCCCGCTCAGTCACGTGTCGCGCCTCAGCCCGGCGCGCACGTCAGTTCCAGACAAGAGCCCGCCGCTTCTTTCCCGCTCTCGCCCGGCCGCGTCTTCTCCACACGGAGGAGGCGAAGGCGCCGCGCGCGAGGGAAAGCCTCGGCGTCCGCCAAGGCCGTTTCCAGTAAAGCTCCCCGCGCTCTCTGTTCCCGCCTTTCCCTGTTATTTCTCTTCTCTTCAACCGTGCGCCAGGCCAGACCCGGCACGGTTTCAGTTTAAAAACCTCACCACACCGGAATCGCTCGGCTGCCAGGCTGAGATCACTAATGGGCGGTTGTGTGTCTGTGGTGGGGCGGGGGGGGGATTTGAACTTTGGCGTTCGAGCCCCCGACGCCTTAACACCTGAAGAGGCTCTCCCTCTGCCTGCAGCCTTGAGTCTTCTAGCTGGGGTTTACGGGGCAAGCAGTTGGAAACGCCCGTCAGAATCCACCTGCCTTCCCCCGGCTGACCCTCACTGACCGCGCCTTTTCGGGGCTTCCAAGCCCGTCTGGTGGAGCTGTTCAAGCAAGCACCAAGCTAGAAACCCCGGAGGCCGTGAGCTCTAGTCCCGTTTTAAGCACCAAGCCAACTGGATGACCTTGGGCCAGCCGCTCTCTCCTCTCTCTCTCTCTCTTTCAGCCTTAGGAAGGAGGCAATGGCAAAACACTTCGGAAAACCTTGCCAAAGAAACTGGGACTAGGTTCCAGGAATAAATGAATTTTAAAAAAATACAACCTGATTTAGGCACTGCCTTTCCCCCAAAACACCAACCTTTGAATCTTCTACATGTTGCTGTCCTCACTAAATCAGGCTCGCCTGATTCTCTAGAATCGCCTGCTACATAACCCTATATAAAGAGACTCGCATACACGCGCACAATCACACAACAGAAGTCTTCAGATTAGGTGGTGGTTGGTGGTTTTTTTCCCCCCCTTTTCGTTATTCCTTTGCAGCATAGCCTTTTGCCCCAATCAACCAACCAACCAACGATTCCACCAGCACCAACCGTCCCCCTCCTATTAAGTTTTAATGACTAGATCCACAGCTGTTTCTCCCCTCTAGGTCCCTTCTTGCACAGGCTGCAGGGCGACGGCCAACCACCGACCCCATCCCTACCTTCTCGCCCTATAGGACTAACACACCGTTTCCCGACCCGTCGCTTTCTTCTCTACATTTGCTTTCCCTTCCCCTCCCTCTCTTTCTCTTCCAGTACGAGGAGCAAAAGACTTAGTTATACGGGTGTCCTAACTTAAAAAAAAAAAAAAAAAGCAAGCTCTGCCTTTCCCGGCACTTTCTGCTGAAATCCGGACTTTTCTGCCCGCAAACCTGGCATGGACGAGACTTCGGCGTAGTCCTAGTCTATTAGATAGCGGACTTTTTTTTTTTTTTCCCGTAGGGCGAAGCACTACGCACACAGTTCCCTCCTCTCCTACACATACATACAACTTCCTCTTGACATACCTTGTTTGACGCTAATTCTCTCCAGAGATCTGTGGTTGTTCCTTTTTACCCCCAGGAGCCAAAACACCCCTCTTTCCTCCCCCTTTTTCTAACCCACCCATCTCGCCGCCTGTCAGTTTCTTCCCTCCCACTCTTCGCCATTTCTCAGCCACCTCTCTCTCTCTCTCTCTCTCTCTCTCTCTCTCTCTCTCTCTCTCTCTCTCTCTCTCTCTCTCTCTCTCTCTCTCTCGCTCATTCTCTTCGCTCGCCCGCTCGCCCTTCCTAGATTTGCATTTGACACCCCGTTCGCCTTTCTTTTTCATGCATCAACTCCAGTCTCGCCACCTCTCCCTTCCCACGTACTCGCGCCCTGGCCTCTCTGCGGGAAACTCCTCACATTTACCCGCCCCAGCGCCGACCGACGGTGCCTGCGCCCACTCGCGTGGTTAGGAAAGAAGAGAGGAGGGCGGCAGCGGCGGCGTTTCTGCCCTTTCACATTGCACACCTGCCGAAAGCGCCTCAGCGAGTCTCTGCCCCCCCCCCTTCATTTCCCTGCAAGAGCCCGAGACTTCGGGGGATTCTCCGCTGCGGCTTTAGCGCCTCTGCCCCAGGAAGCTTGCCTTGGGGGCATTTCGGCCTCCTTTCTGCCGAATTCTGTCACGGGCAGGGCGAGTGTCAGGACTCGCTCTGCTGCCAGGAAAAGGCACGCACCATCCGGAGCGCATCTTTCCTGAGAATGTGTGAATGGGGCAGTCCGGAAAGGACCTCAGCCCTCCCTTCCCATCGGTAGACTCCAAGCACGAGGTTAGGGCGCGCCAGCCTTCCCCATCCCGCTCCTCGTCGAACGGGGTCAAAACCTCGGCTGAAAGAGAGGGAAAATTGCTGCCTCTTCGAAGGATCTGTAAAAGCCCCGCACGGCCGTGACTGCAGTTTATAAAGTAACAAAACCCGGAAAGGGGGTGGGTTTCAAAGCAAAGCCCGCTTCAATGGGCAGCTAGATACTTCGAAAACTTCTCCCTCTCTCCCCCCGTCCCACGCCCGAGTCCTTGGGGGGCTGTTAAAAGGGAATTTCTGCCCGTGAACGTGGGAGGCAGAACATGATCAGAGTCATAAGACTTTGGCCGTCTGAGCCGCCGGTGCGCTTCGATTGAGCCGCCTAACCTGAGCAGATGCCTTGCACTGTCAAGGAAGCGAAGGTGGGGGCTCTAGAGGAGGCTGAGGCTTCCATTTTTAAAAGGAAGATGTTCTACAGCAGTGTTTCCCAAACTTGACAATTTTAAGGCGTGTGGACTTCAACTCCCAGAATTCCACAGCCAGCGTTGCTGGCTGTGGAATTCTGGGAGTTGAAGTCCACATGCCTTAAAATTGTCAAGTTTGGGAAACACTGTTCTACAGTATTAAGGGAAGCCGTTCCGGGAGTGGGAATAAAAACAGGTAAGAAGAGGAGGGGTGAGGGATAAGCCTACTGCTGCCGTCTTTTTTTTTTTTTTTTTAATCCTAAACTCGGTGGGCAAAATCGTAGGGAGGGGAACAGCAGAAAGGAAAGTATGGACCAAGCTTTTTTACACGGAGCTGGCAAAGTCGTCTCTAACGGTGCTGGTTTGGGGCGGTCTGCGGGATGGGGGTATTCCAAAGCTTTTTCGGTCCCCAGATGCTTGGTTTCGGCCTGGGGCTCACCGCCTCACCCGGGGCTCTGCAGGTGCTGAATTTCAACCTCTTTAATCCAGTGTTTCTCAACCTTGACCATTTTAAGGCATGTGGACTTCAACTCCCAGAATTCCACAGCCAGCAATGCTGGCTGTGGAATTCTGGGAGTTGAAGTCCACATGCCTTAAAATGGTCAAGGTTGAGAAACACTGCCTTTAATCCCAGGCCAGATCTCTGGTGGATTGGGGACCGGTTTCTTCATTCGTCGGTGAGGAATTCAAATGGTCGTGAATTCCACGTAGGGTCATGGTCTATGAGGCGCTTTGGTGTGGATTTGGTTCCAAATCCCTTCGACCCACAGTTTTCATTCTTTCCTTCCAAAAAGTTTTAAGTTCGCCCTGTTCCTACAGAGAGCGGAGGAAAAAGGAAAGCTTCCGTGGCAACTGAGCTCTTTGAGATAGAATCAAAGCTCATTTGGTCCAACTTCGAGTTAATTTATTTCAGAGGTTCTGTTTCATCCAGCCAAACAACACCCATAGCATCTTATCTTCTAAAATAACTCCCTCATCTCCCACCATCTCCATGTGGATAGCCCCGAGTTGGGAAACATCGTTCCCGCGCGTTTTTGGAAGGCTTGGGGATAGCTCTGTGTATCTGTAGATTTACTTTCTTCCCGTTCAAAACCTGCCTTTCTTCAAAGGAGCTCAAGTCGGCTTACAAGAACATTACCTCTCGTTTTATGCTTGGTGAATGAGAGTGACTCCCCAAATCATCCAGTGAGCTCCATGGTCAAGTAGGAACTTGAACCTGACTATTCTGGATCTCAGTGGCCCCCGAAGCAAGCAAGTAGTATGGATTTGTTCTGATTCTTTACCAGACTTCCTACATCTAGCATCTTTTTCTGCCAGTCTTTAACAGACCACCCCAGACGTTTTCTGGAAACTTATAAGCAGGGTTGGAAGCCAACTGTCCTCTCCCACTGTTTCAAGTAACCAATAAAGCCCAAAGTTGGACGGTCCATTTTGTTAGGTACATATTCCAGCGGCTAGCTTTTGATCAGACTGATGCAATGATAGCTACTGACATAAACTGTCTCAAAAAAACTGCCCCAGATGTTATTTTCTGAGACCGAAGTACCCCCTTCTGGGGGGGGGGGATAGAGAACAATCTGTTCATTAATATTTCTGCAGCAAATCTCCCAAAGAACTAAAAAAAAAAGCCTTTAAAAAGCAACTGGATTCCAAAAGCTGTTGGAGAGACTCTTCTAATGTTTCATCACCTTCACCATGGCCAGGCTTAATTTCTAATGAGTGATTCAATTTATTTTCAGAAAAATAGAAGATTTGAGCTCCCTCAATATTCCTGAGTGCTGTCTCCCGCCTCCTTGCCTAGGTGGAAAAGTTATGGCTTCTCTCTGGCTTTTCAATGAACCCGTGGCTAGCCACTGGCTTCGCAACGGAGTTCTGTACGCCCCTGGAATAAATGCCTAACTAAATGGACCGTCCAACTTTGAAACCATTGGTTTCCAACCCTGCTTATAGGTTTCCAGAAAACATCTGGAGTGATCTGTTAATGGGTGGCAGAAAGAGATATTAATGTGAGAAGTCTGGTAGAAAGTCGGGACAAATCCATACTACTTTCTTGCTCCGGTAGACGAAACCAAGCGAGATGCAAACTAGTGACATAGAGAATTCCAGATTGGAATTCACCCTCTCCTCCAGTAAAGCCTTACCAGCATACCTGAGGAGGCAGAGAGAGGGTGGTGAGCGAAGGAGAAGTAGAACAATTAGAATAATTAATCGGTGGAACAACCTGCCTCTAGAAGCTGCGAATGTTCCAACACTGGAAGTTTTAAAGAAGGGACTGGACAGCCGTTTGTCTGAAGTGGTATAGGGTTTCCTGCCTGAGCAGAGGGTTGGACTAGATGACCTCCAAGATCCCTTCCATCATCATCATCATCATCATCATCATCATCATCATTATTATTTAGAAGAGAATGGTGGGAAGTGCAAAAGCGATTAACAAACTCTTCTTCAATGAAGTTCTAAGTCCTCTGTAGAGACTCGGTTATCAATACTGGTAGGATAAACACATTAAGTGAGGCTATTTAAATACTGCTTATTGAGTTTTAAATTGCTGTTGGTAGTTCTCTCTCTCTCTCTCTCTCTCTCTCTCTCTCTCTCTCTCTCTCTCTCTCTCTCACACACACACACACACACACACACACACACACACACACACCTTCTTCGCTGTGCAGATACATCAGCAAAAGCTAACGACTCAGAATCGGTAAACTCTTGAAGATCCAGTTTCGCGAAAGTGGAGGTGGTGGATACAAGGCAATCCTGGATCCCCTTCTGGCCAGTCGGGCTAAATTTCACCCTAACGCAAGAAAATTTGGAGCGACCCGACTGCCTCTTTCAACAGGCAGGAGGGGCATTTGTGTAGCAGAATATGCAACGAACTATTCAAACCTGTTCCTTTCGCGGGATTCTGCAATTGTGGCTCAGAAAACTGCAGCGATCCAGAAAGTCAGTTCGCCAACAGGGGAGATTCAAACCAGTTTGATAGATTTGGACATAAATGAACGTGTGTATGTGTGTGTGTGCGTGTGTGTATTCTCTCCCCTCATGTTCCCCTCAACTAAACACGGGGGGGCAGCTTAGTTTGCACAATATCATATATACATTGTGCCAATATATGTGAAAGGTTACTTCCCTCCACACCCCCCCCCCAAAGCCTCTCTACAAACTAGCAAGTTTCGGAGTAACCTAGAATAAAATGTAGCCCAACTCCTTATTTTTGCAAGGAGCTTTAGAATAGCCGTGCATGCATTTGAGAGAAGAAATGAGCAAATCTTGCCACGATTAAAAATTCCTGCCCCCGACCGTACACGCAAAGAAATAAATCCCCTTGATTTTTAGGGGGACTAAAGTTTATAGGATAACTCGACTGAAAACACGCGCGCAGACCGAGAGGATATTTTGCAGGCACATCGCTGCAACTTTCCTGATTCTGCTCGGTTTCAGGTGTGCATCCAATTTCCATAATTCCTAACCAGCAAAGTTGGTTAGAGACGATGAGATCTGAACTCCAAAATATCCGGAGGGGACCAAATTAGGAAAATCATCTTAAAAGAAAGGGAGGGGGGACCCAAATCATCACCACCATCACGGACGAGGTTCCCTTCTGCGAGCTGAAGATTAGATTGAAAGCTGAGCGGAAACCCACTTTCAAGGGCGCAGATCTACCCTCACATGGACCAAGGAGGACTTCATTTCGCTCGGCCCCCCCCCCACTCTTCCTGCCGGCGCCCCTTCCCCCTCTTTTTAAACAACTCCCACCATCAGGTTCAGCAGCTCGTCTCTTGAGCTCCCTAACTCCAGCAAGCTGGAGCGCCGTCTCTCCACGCGACGCGGATTCCTCAGTGTATCTATACTCCCTTTCATTCATAAAATGCGACGCCGCTGATCAAGGAGGGGGAAGTAAAGTAAAGCACTAAAGAAAGGTGTCCAACAGCCTCGAGGGGGGGGGGGAGGTTGCATGAAAGAAGCCGACGTTGTTTTAGAATTTAGGATCTGCAGCCAAACGGGGGAATAATTTACACACCCCGGTTCGAAATTAATGGCTGATTTTTATTTATTTATTTTTGTGGACTACACAGTAGGTCTATCTAGTATGAATCTGTTTTTAACCGGGATGGGCGGCCGTAGAAATTGAACAAATAAATAAAATGCTCTAGCATACCAACTTCTTCCTCTCTGTCTCGTTTTTAATGCTTATTCCCCCCCCCCCTCACCGCGTTCTAGGGAAAAGAATTGAGAAACTCGAACGTTTGCAGCTGTTTTGGAAATCTTCCGCTGGCCTCACCGGTATGGATTTTGAATCAGGTCAAACTTTCTTTCTTTCTTTCTTAAAGAGTAAAGGGAGTTTATAAAGAGTGAATGCCTTTGCGCGAGGGAAACGGAGCAGGACCTTCTTCCCGTTTTACGACCATTACCTGACGTTAGGCAGGTACCATTAACAGGAATTCCCACCGTCCACGCGGGCACTTTCCTAAATTCAAGACGGAAGAGTTTAACCTCACCAGGTTTTCTGCCGGATAACAGGTGAATCCGCTAAGTTCAATTCTGGGGAGGGAGGGAGGGAGGGGGGAGATCCAGCAAAGAGATCGGCAATTACAGTATGTTCTTGCTAGATCTGATGGGCCTTTCTGGAAGGGAACATTGGCTCATGGCTGTTTTTTTTTCTCTCTCTCTTCAGCCACCAGCCCGTCTCTTTGCACGTTTTCGCTGGGATAGAATTCGCCCCTGAGAAAAGATACCGGCGTATTCCTGCCTTTCCCCCCCCCCGCCCCCCACAAAGCCCCTTGGCATCTTACAAGGAATAACTCTAGCGGCGTCCCCCCCTCCTCCTCCCTCCCCCTCCTCCTCCCTGCCCCTCCACCTCACACCCAAGTCTTCATTTTGGCTGCTCATCCAATCTCCGGCTCTTCTCAAAGATGGTTTTCCCGATCCGAAATAGCGACAGAAAGTGAAGTCCCTTACCTCCGTCCCTTTCGCTCTCACTCACTCTCTCTTTCTCACTTTCTTTCCAAATTCCCGGGAGTGATGCGCGTGGCGCCGCTTTCTGAAAACGATTTAAGGAGGGGGGGGGAGAGCAGAGAGGATGATGGGATCAGGTTTCAAACGAGAACATAACTGAGGTAAAAACGAAGCGCAAGAGGAACTTTAAAGTCTGAAGCGAAAACGTAGGGAGGAGGGGCTTGGGAGGGGCGGGGCTTGCAGGGGGCGGGGCTTGCGCCCGCCTTCGCCCCTTACGGGGCCAGGAACGGCCGGAAGGATGCGGCGAAGGGGGGGGGGGTCGGTCTTCTCATGGATGAGCTGAGGTGGGATGAGCTCGCCAGATCCTGAAGGATGGGTGGCAAGAGCTTGGTTTCCAGAGGAGGGAAATGGCACCGCTCTCTCAGGCGAGCAGTTTGCAATGGGACCCCCCCCCCCCCAGCACAGACCGACAACATGATTTCCTTCACGCCACTTGTCAAAGGCTCTCTTTCCCGCACCCTAGAAATAAATTAGATTTTAAGAATAATGGCAAGGGGGTTAATACTCTGTAGAACGCACGTTAGAGGGCGTAGCAACCTCATCGGATGCCCAGGAAGGCTTAAGAAGCTCACCCACAACCCCCGGTCAAAATGACAGAGGTTGTGAATGTTTCTATCTTCTCCCTGGAAGATATCCCATTTAAACCCCCCCCCCGCCCCCCTCAAAGGAAAGGTGGGTTCCCCATGGGCAGGGGTAGGCAGCCTTGGCTCTTTTATGACTCGTGGACTTCAACTCCCAGAATTCCTGAGCCAGCCATGCTGGCTCAGGAATTCTGGGAGTTGAAGTCCCCGAGTCATAAAAGAGCCAAGGTTGCCTACCCCTGCCCATGGGCATACTAGCAACTTGATGATAGCAGTACACCAGTGTCTTGAGATGATCAACTGCTTTGGAGCATCTCAGGGGGGAAATATATATATTTAACTTCGGGCAGCATGACTGACAGCCGCATTTAGTTCCCACTTTCAGCCGACTGAGTAGAGCAAAAATCGAGCGTGATACACACGGAGATGTGAATCTGCTCCCAAGTACTTGGAGTTAGTAACATGAAAATTGGGGTGGGGGGGGAATCTCATTTGTCTTTTAGAGCCCAATTATGTTACTCATAAGTTTTTAAGGGGTTAAATTGGTCAAATTTATTCTGGGGGAAGGAAATCCTCACAGCAACCTGAACTGGAACTGCGACTTTGCAGAAAAAGCAAAGTCTTGCAGAAAAGAAAAAAAAGCCCCTTATCCTCTGTATTTAGGTTAGGTGGAAAAGTGAGGGCAATAGAGGTAGTTTTTTTTTTTTTAAATCATACACATCGTCTACATTGTGCAGTAATGAGCCCCTTCTGTTCGATTTCTCTAGCTTCCCTGGAAAGGAAACAAGGAATATTAAAGTTATAATCTGTCTTCATCAGTAAGAGAAATATTCTGGGAAGGAAAATTCTGGTTCCAATTTGTCCATCTGAATCTATCAACAAGAATATTTCTTTTGATCTTGACCTGCCTCTTCCATATAAGGTGAGCTGGATTTCAACTCATGTAATTCCTAGACAAGATTGCCCTGCTGAAGTTGAATTCTGTAATATTATGGAGGCACAGAATTGGATGGCCGAAGGTTATGCTGGACAGATTTTGATGCCCTACAAGAAAGAAGATAAAGTGGAATGGCTCGGAGATGAAAGAAGAAAACTTTGGGCATTTCATACGAACAAGAGCCTCATGCTTAATATTGGTCAATTAAAAAGAGAACTGGGATTGAAGCAAATGCCTCTGTGGAGGTAGTAGAGAGTGCCTGTTTACTCTGAAATGTAAAATAGAATCAGTTATGCATAATTTGAATCAATTAGTTTGACTCTTTAAATTAAAATAGTTTCATTCTCTTACTCTTTCTTCCACGTTATTCATTGCACATGATATCATAGCCTCCAGTCTCATGATCTGCATAGGATGGTGTCAACTATTTATCTACATATATGCAAATCCAGACATTCAGCTGACTTGGCTGCTTTCCAAACCAGCCAAATCAGCTTTCCCAAGACACCAGGGGATATGCAAAGAAGAGAAGGTGAAGGTCAAAGGAGGTTACAAGATAAGTTCCTCATTAATCATCTCACACACATTTGTGTTCAGAATCAGAATCAGAAGAAGAATGACTTGAGAGTGGTGGACTAAGCAGCTGCAGATTAACCACATCTAATACAGCACATATCAGGTTTACCAAACTAACTCCAGATGGGGTTGGGTTTTAACATCAATAATTGGGAGTCCAGCACATCTGAAGGGCACCCATGCTAGCGAAGGCTGAGCTAGTCTCATCAAAGAGGAGCACATGTTTTTAAAGCAAAGACCATCCCTATATGTCTGGAGTTGTCACTTCTGACAAATGTCCTGACCTCAATGGTGAATTGCTGGAAGCAATGATGGACTCAGGAAATGGATTCAGGGAAACAAAAATATGTATCTTCCATCCAAACTATGTGTTTAACTGACCATCATCTGGAATCTACTAGATTCTGCATAAATGTCTGGGTCTACTGTACATCTGTGTCTCTATATTTATATCCATCTTGCCTTCATCTACTGAAGGTGTTTTTTTTTTTTTTTTAATGTGGATCTCCCTTTGTTTTATCCCTGCAAAAGCTATCCTGTTCTATGGCTCAGTCTGGACACAAAGATGAGTCTCCAGGGTTCTCAATCCATACTTTGATCTCTATACCAAACTGGCTTTCTTAAGCCCTCCATCCTTTATCAGTTCCCCAATTCCATGAGATTGAATGTGAGTTCTTGGAAGGGCTCCACCTGCCCTCCATCAATTTAGAATTATTTCATTGCCTTGAAATTAGAGAGGCAACTGCCTTGTACTGAATTCAGTTATCCTTCCTTCTATCCTAGGAGTGACAACACTGGCAACAGATCTCCAGGCAAGTAACCCTCCAATTTCTATCTAGAGATGCAAGGAGTTGATCTTTGGGCTTTCTTCATGGAAAGCATGTGCCTACCTTTGAAGACTACAGCATGATCATAATGCAGCAGCACAAAGAGGGATGGGTGTATTTTAGTCTACCCATGTAATTCTTCTGATATATGCAGTAGATTGCACTAGTTCCCACTGGGCTTCTGGGCACAATTCAAGGTGCTGTTCATTATCTATAAAGCCCTTTGTAAAATAGGGCCTGGATATTAGCAGGGTCGCCTTTCTCCAGTTGTCTCTGCCTGCCACACAAGATTAGACAGAGTTGGAAGCCATCTGTCCATTTCATCTTATGGGACCCAGGAAATGTGTCTCCTCTGTTGCTCTGCTTGCCTTACGATGCAGCATTTTCCACATGGACTGACTTGACTCTTCTCATAAGCACATTACGAGGACATTGTGTGAACCAACCATGAGATTCTTTTGTTTGTTTAATTTTTGTGAGGGATATCCCCCCTCCCTCCAGCAGGGTCATTTTTATTACTGTTTTTTAACTGAGCACATTAGTTGCTTTAAATCTCCTGACATTTGTGACAAGTCCTATGTACGTGGGTGGTTGTAAAGTTAACATACTAACTAAATATACTGGATTGAGTGCATAGAGTCATGGAACCATCTTTGCAGATGTCGCATTGTTTTCTGCTAAATGGCAATCTTTAACCATTTTGGCTGAGCTAAGCAGAATTGGACTTGGGAGATCACCAGAAGAAAAGTTGAGAAAACATCCTGGAAAAAGACAGTACCAAACAATTCCCAGCTGCTTTCAAGAAAAGCACATAAATCTGCTATTATAGTAACCAACAGTTAAGCTTGTTCAAATGATGCTTTACCTTTATTTAGCACTTGCATCATTCAACAAGAAGTCAAAAGACTACACTTTGGTCATACCTTTGGAGCAAAACAACCACCGGTTAAAAAATCAAGGGAAGGGGGATCAAGCTACATACATACATACGTGTGTGTGTGTGTGTGTGTGTGTGTATCCTTCATTTTATGTGATTAACTTAGGGTACCAAATATGGGTGGCGTTTCCAAATGAGTCGCTTTGGTCTCTTTGCGTTGAGCCCATTCTCTATTTCTCAGGTTTGGAATATTAGAAACATTTAAATAATGTTGTTTTATAGTGATCTCCCCGCTGCCTCCAGGACTCTAGTTTTGGTTACACTAAATAACATTTTTAATCACGATCATTTCCAGGAATTGGTTGCAGAGTTTTGTTTAGTACCATCAAATTTTCCAGTGCAGTGACACTGTAGGGAAGGTTTATTTTAAAAGCAAGATGGGAAATGAAATTATTAAAGTATGCACCTCTTGAATCGGTTTAAAGGAGAAAATAAATAGGTCTGGTTAGGGTAAGTTGTTTATATATGTAAAAGTGGTTGAATGAGAGATCTTTGTGGAGGAAAATCCACTGTGTGGTTTTCTTATAATCAGACTGTTAACTACTAATACGCTTGCCAGAAAACAGTTTATGTTTCTACTACCCTCATGTTTTCAGAATGCAGTGTAATAAGTTAGCAAGGAAAGGAAAGTCAACTTTGACTGGATTCTATGAAACAAACCATAGGCATAAATTCAGCAGGTGTACCTCTCCTTACCATACTAAGTGGGAAGCTGCACGTACTGATTTTGTGTTTCTTTCATTTTTTTAAAGTAGAAGCATCCTTCCCAGAATAAAATAATATCTTGTTTCAGCTTTTTGTATTTTTGCTATCATTTTAAATTCAAATGGAATACTTTTCTCTTTTCCTATCAAATTTTTAGTTACATTTTAGATTCATTTTGGGGGGAGCCAAAAGCCTAGGCATATTTTTATTGGGTAGCTGTGCTTTTAGCAACTTTATTTTCTTGTTATTTATTGCAGCTATAGGGACTGCTACTTGATATGAAACATCAGAGCAACAAAGGGAAAAGAGGTGTCCTCCTTCCTTACTTGTTTTTCAGTCTCCAGAATTAATTTGGAGAGGACATACTCCCCAGCTTAGATTATTTTCAGCTGAAAAAAAAAAAGCAAAAAGGGGAAAAGGTGAAGAATACCCTTTTCTGCAGAACTTGTTGATCACTTCAATTCCTGCCTTAGCAGCTGCACTATTTACAAATCTTGAAAATCAAGGGT